GAAACTTGGAAAGAAGGTATATCCACATGTATTCTACACGTTTGTTAAATTTGGTAACGATTAAAAAATATTTATCTATTTCATTAACTAAAAACCGGCCAAAATAGCTCATTTTAGCGAATTTCCCTATAGGGAAGTAGCTATTACCGTAGGTCTCATGGTAAGACTTAGGCCCGGGACCGATTTACTTTTTCATTTTAATGTCCCCAGAGGCCAAAAACACCATTCGTTCAAATTTTTATATATGTATATATATATATATATATATATATATATATATATAGGTATATATATAGATTTATATATATATATATGTGTCCGTGAACACGATAACTTGAGTATTTTTTATCCGATTTTGATGAAATTTGGTTTGAAGGTGTAAGGCGGGATAAACTTGAATGAGTTCGCGATCCAGCATGATCGGACCATGAGAACAGGGTTTTATGGGGGGTTTTATGGGGTAAAAATTGGGTTTTCTCACTTCTTACCCTCAAAACACAAAATTTCCCAATTTTTCTCTAAACCTTCTTAAAGAGCTTAAAAAAACAAACAATTCAGTATATCAAAGTGTTTTTGTACGGTTATTGGTTACGGAGAAAACTAAAAAAATGGTAAATTTAAAATTCCCATGTTATTTTTATGGAGAATATTGTAAAATGTTGTAGTTTGCTTGTTTATAGATATATTTTGATCAAACTTGGCAAATTTATTTATTTTATAGTAAGCTATAAATATTTTACTAAAAACACACTACTTTATTAGTTTCCCTGTAGCAGCAAACCTAGGTACTCGTTAAACCTAATATTATTTAAATAGATCAATTGAAAATCAATTCGGCCAAATGGAAATTCGCTTAGACGGCAGGTTTGCTGCGGCGGGGGTATTATTTTGTTGACCCGGGTCAATCGCCTAAAAAAGGTACTTAGAATTAAACTATATATATGAAACTTGGAATGAAGGTATATCCACATGTATTCTACACGTATGTTAAATTTGGTAACGATTAAAAAATATTTATCTATTTTATTAACTAAAAACCTGCCAAAATAGCTCATTTTATTTTGTTGACCCGGGTCAATCGCCTAAAAAAGGTACTTAGAATTAAACTATTTACATGAAACTTAGAACGAAGGTATAACTGATAAATATTTTTTAATCGTTACCAAATTTAACATACGTGTAGAATACATGTGGACATACCTTCTTTCCAAGTTTCATGTATATAGTTTAATTCTAAGTACCTTTTATATTGGTGATTGACCCGGGTCAACAAAATGAAATTAGCTTTTTACGGCAGTTTTCTGTTTATAAAATAGGTAAATATTTTTTAATCGTTACCAAATATTACATACGTGTAGAATAAATGTAGATATACCTTCTTTCCAAGTTTAATATATATAGTTTAATTCTAAGTACCTTTTATTGGTGATTGACCCCTTTTTACTGTTAATGTTTACTAGGCTAAAAAGGCGTATCACAACCTACCTCCTTTTGGCATGGGAAAATTTTGTTTCTTAAAAGACATTTTCCTAAGCCAAAAAAAGGTAAGTTGAGATACGGCTTTTTGGCCTAAAAAACGTTAACAGTAAAAAGGGTAACTGGATTAAAAAATATGAATGTATCATTATACATTAATAAAAATATATTCATAGTCTCCTACATTGAAAAAGAAGTAGTTTGAAAAAAAAATTATTGAATTCGGTTAACCGGTTAAATTAAATCGAAAAAACATGACTCTGACTGGCTTTGACAAAACATCCATTTTCTCAGATTCGTCATTTATGTTGATACGGCCTTTTTGCTTACCACGGCAGTATTCAAAGTCTATGGTTTAGCTAAAGCAGTAGTTTGATTAATTCCAAATATCATGAACAAACAGCTGATAGTAAATCCCGGTAATTGTTACAACTCACAACCTAGCAATTCACTGCAAACGACTACCTTTTGTACCGTCTGATAAATCACGTATAATAGCGGCAGTTTGTTGAAATGGTTAATTTCCCAACAGGGAAGAATAGAGAGCGGAGTGACAAAATGTGCGTCAAGGGGCTGCGATCTAATTAATGTAGACACACTTAAAGCTCTCACTATAGACACAATGCTGTGAGGTAGACTAGACATTTCAATCCCGTCCGCGTGTTGTAGTTGTAGGTTGTAGCTGATTGGAATGAAAAGAAGTTCTATTAAGTTACCACTATACTGTGCTGTTTTTGACCGACTTATTAATCAGCCCATACATTACTTCAGGCTAGGTCTAAAAGGCGACATTATCAATTAGATAAAATCCATTGGTTATAGGCGGGATTTTATCCCGGGACCTAGGAGCCGAAATCCTACGGTCTACCACTAGACCAGCTCACTCCACAATAAACCATATGAAAGAACAACTTATTGTAAAAAAACTAATTTTTATATCAAACAAAAAATGGCAGAATAAAGACGTTAAATGACAACTGTTAAATACCAACATTGCTTACAAATTTAAATACAAGTGTTAAATATAGTTTCACTCTTAGTAGGCCTAAATATAACGTTGAATTATTGAGTGATAATTTTACTGCTACGAATGACACAAATCTATGTTTCTTAATGACTTTACCTCTACAATGAAAAAAATTCAAATTAAAGGATCAGATAATCATAGTAAGCAATTTAAAGTGATTTTAATTATTCTTCAAAAGAATAACGAAAGGGCGTTATTGTGTAGAGTGTTTAATATTTACGTTTTAGAGAGCGAACATGTATTACACTAAATACATTGTCTTATAAGCTGTCTTTTTTTATATTAGCATATTTGATTTACACAATCAAATGGATGGCAAACAAAAATAATAAATACACCCCACACCGTTGAAATTATCCCCCTTTTCAAGGTAGTTCGTATTACTTTAAGAGTGCATTGAAATATAAGTTTTTTCAAAGTTGGATTCAGATTTCAGATTCAGTAATCTTAAAATTGTTATAGTGCGTACGGAATGAGTATTAAAATTAAAACAAACGGCGTTTTGGTCTTTACTGACTCAAAATCCTCAGCGATCCCAGAGATAAATCTTGCAATAGTGACTTCTTCAATATCTACTTCTTTTGGGGAAATTCTCCGAATTGGAAGACGCCTTACAACAAATCTTTATCGTTAAAGCAGAGAATTATATAATGGAAATAGCATGCAACTTTTCTTTAAAGAGTAAGCTTTGTTAAATTTTTTTGTGTATGATAATTCTTTAAGAAATCTTGGAAGATTTGGGGACAGAGCCCAGATCGTCATGCGACTGTATGACCATTGGCCAAAACTCAAACAAAAAGGCATGGTGTATGCCCCAGGTGGATTCAATCTTCAATCTACAATATAAATGAAGAGTAGCAAACTTGTCCATAAGTAATTGTATACAATTACATCGGGGGTTATAACGACAGGACTTTGCTTCTGCTAAGAGTTGCAATGACTCAAAAACTAATGTTTACAAATATAGTCATTAGGCCTAATTAAATTCCAAACTATATCTTGTTATATTTTTAATCCATTCATGTTCATTGTTAATATTAGGAAAAACATATTGTCTCAACATATATATAATTTATAATCAAAATTTATTCATTGGCTCATTTAAAATTATTTTTCAAAACAATTCCTCCATTTAAAATACAGTGCTTCTGGGTTCAAGATTATCAAAAAAATCAACCATGTTTTTATTTATGTGAACCCCATAATTTAAGAAATGATTTACATCAATGAACAGTGACAGTGCAGTATCCAAGGAGAACATACAGAAACTAATAGTTGTGAAATAAATTGTGAAATTATAAAATAAAGTATTGTCAAAATATCCAAATAAACTGAAGAAAGAAGAATTTAGACCTACATTATTCAGAAGAAAATTATTATTACAGAAGATTGGTGAGAACATTCCATTTATTATTAACTCAAACTATAGACATTTCCAGGATCCATTTTGGAACTAAAATTACTTCCATATTTCAAATTATAGCAATAGAAAAGAAAAATTAATCATCTTACTAAAATAGTGTTTCCACATTATTACTCAATCTACATTTTAACTTATTGCCTTCCATAAATTCAAAGAAATCTTTTGATTCAGTCTGCACGAATCCCCACCTCTCGAGAATTTTTGTAACCACTTATTTCATCAAACATTGTATTTAATAACACCTGTACCACATCATTTATATTATTAGTTAACAGGGTGTCCACATTCTGGAAAGTCAGGGATAGTCATGGAAAGTCATGGAAAAAAAATTTTGGTCATTGAAAGTCAGGGAAATAGGCAAGAAGTCATGGAAAGTCATGGAAATATCCAATTATGGATGGATTTGAGGGGACCATTCAATGCTCTAGTCAGCTGTAACCCGGACTGTTGTAGCATTTTTCAGTATTTTTCACAAATGTTCCACAATTCAATTCATTACAGTTGTATTATTTTATGAGTTTTCGGTTTGTTTTAGTTCATTGTTGTACCTATTGTACTCCATCGTTATCTGTTATTACATATTTCAGTATTCTCTGCAAAATAACATGTCCAGGCAGTATTATTTGTGTGTGTATGTTATATAATAATTTGCGTGTAAAGTTCGTGAGTCATGGAAATCAATTGTAAATGGTCATGGATAGTCATGGAAAGTCATGGAAATTAACGAAAAAATTTTTGTGGACACCCTGGTTAAGACAAAAATAAAATAACAACAACATAATTAGAGGTTTATTTCAGACTTCTCTTTTAGAGTTTGCTAAATTCAAACAAGGCCCACGGCCATAGAGTATATCTTCTATATTATGGTATCTGGCATCACATATCAATTGTATATGACGTGCCTAGGTGAGCTCCTAGATATTTCAACTAACTGATCATTTACGTGGCTGCAATGATGACAGTTAAGTGTTTTAACACGTTTAACTATTGCACACTTACTTTTTCTTAATTTAGCCTCTTGGCTTGATTCTTACAGGTGTTTTAAGTTGCAAACCTTATAGCAAATTAACTGACCTAGTAAAGCTTGGAAGAGACGAGATTTGAAGATGCGGATGACCCTCTCGATGGCCAGACGTAGCTGCTTATCCTGGGGCTTGATAAGCTTGGAGTGGTAGTCTTCTAATAGCTCCAGCGCGCGATGAGCCTCTGAAAAATAAACAAATTAATTTACTTTTCAACCTCGGAAAATATAACATGGATTTCAAAATGCTATAGTGGAATGTAGTGGAATTTAATTTGGCAAAGCAATACGAGAGGCTAAGTACAGGATAAACTCTGTATGCGTAGTATTTTCGACTAAGAAGTAAAAGTAAAAGTAAAAGACATCATACTACCAATGTGAATTTAGATAGTTATACAATGAAAACTACCGTCATAGGATGAAGCCTTCAATGAATATCCTGTAAAATACTAATGTCTGTACTAAACACTGATATTTTAACCAAGGATATGTTATAGTGGGGGAACGCATATTTTATGTTACATCGATAAATTGAATTGTAAAATTATCGGATGGAATTTTGGAAATTGCACTATTTCGCAAAGACTCATTCTCACTTTGCTGCACGTGACAGAAATGCGGCGAGAAGGTTTATTGAGTGCAGCAAAGATACTTTGCGCTCTTTTATACATTATATTTTTCTTACAGTTGCTATAAAACGTATAAATAATGGGCAATTGTATGTAAATAAAGGTAAACTTTTACTATGCAGTTTCGCTAGCTAACAAACTGAAACCTAAATCTAATCATCTCACAAAAACAAAACCTATTGGAAGTTGTTTCACAAATTAGCAAATAAAAATTTTAATGAAATTGAACAAACAAGATGAATTACAATCTGATGAATGTTTATGTCGACACGCAAAAACAGGTTTGTAATCAATGTCACTGTGTTCATTATTTACACACATTTGGCTTAATATGTCACTTAACAACACGTTTTACGTTAGGTTAAATTCAAGCGCTGAACGATAATTTAACACGCAAACCAGGTTTATAGGTTAGGTTATAGTATACCGTTGTATCAATCAATGTTCAAAGGGAATAACGAATAAACAGCTGATCGTAGTCGTAGTACGTATATTTAAGTGTTGCAGACGTGTTCTCAAGATGGTTCTCAAGCATCGTATTGAGTGCCTAATACAATCAAACTTTTTGTGTTGTTTGGTTGAAATACGGGAACGCGGTAAAATAAAATGATTGCGACGAGTAAAAAAATATTTTGCGGAAGGCATAAAAAAATTGTATGTATTGTATACGTGGTGAAATTATAAAGACTAACCAACAATTTAATTCTTTTACAGACGAAAAAAATTTTTACAAGTAAACATTATGAGTAAAGTTTTGCCTCGTTCCTCGCACGAACGGGTTTCCTTTTTGCAAATTCAAATCACATTCAGAATTTAATCTGTCAGGAGCATTAGAAGATTAAATCAGCGTTTACACCTTATTTTCTACCAAAATTAAAGCTCCCCTTTTGTTTCATGTGACATTAAACATAATATATAACATTTGTTGAAACGTATATGTAGCGTACTTATTGTTTAAATTGAACTAATTCACCATGCAACTATGAAGAGGTGGTTTATTCAAACGTTAACTGTGAGGTAAAAGCACACGGGGATTCTGAGAATATTTATTTACAATTAATTATAATTAGACTTCCGAAAGCATCACCTAATCGGCTGTTCAAAAAAAATATTGCATTTTTAGAAAGTTAAAATAATAAACAATTAATTAGCGTAACAAAAATGTTAAATGAGTTATTTTCTACAAGCAAAGTTTTACTTTACATATTTTGTATTTCATAAGAATACAACTCGTATACACATCATAGAATCACAATTAAAATAGCTAAATATTGTCAATTTTTATACTCCTCTCTATTACATTATGGACTTAATTTGTGTTTATGTTTTCTTCTCTTAAGTAAATTTAATTATTAAACCAGTTTGAACGGATGTATTTGCATCAAGTGTTTTCTACTGGAAGTTGAGTATAATAGACTTTTTGAATTATGTGTTATTTATTATCTAAAGATTACATGTAATAAATGGTTGTATATTTGGGTATACAAATTATTCCACACGCACTAGATTGCAACCTATCTTTTAAGTTTATATCTTCAGCCTAATGCATGGTAAATAACTGATAGAAATCGTTAAACATATTTCCAAATCCTATGTTATTGTTTTGTATGAATTAATTTCATCATAAAATTATAATTAGTGGTTTTAAATTTAACTGACATATTTTAAAACTGTATTAAATTCAAACTATGTCCACTAAAAATCAATAACACACTATTTACTGTACTAAATAAATTAACGTTAACTGTACTAAATAAATGTAAGGTCCAAAAAAGGGTCTGAAAATTAATTCTACTACAGTTTTCTTTTTAGTCTGTAATAAAAATGAATTACTCAAAATGTAATTATTTGTTTAACCCCAAACAATGCTTAAGAACCAGGTTTTAATTTTACAAGGAAATAGAATTTGCAGCAAAGTTGTGTTTGTCGAATACTAATATATGAGGTGGCATTTGGACGACAAACTCAGGGTAGAAGTTAGTTTGGGCTACATAGTTGCAGAGTTTGTAGAGATCGTCAGTATGCAACACTTACAACTATGTCCACGAGGGTACAAAGGCACTTTTGAAAGACTTCAACTCAAAATATTTTAATTATTTTCGGTTTTAATTTTTTAGATACGTATTATAACGAAAATTCTCATAATGAAGCAACCATTTCCTAATGGTAAGACCTAATGGTAATTCAGGCCCAATGTATTTTTTAGAGTCCACAGTGGTCCCCCCTATTATTTATTCAATGGTATTACAAATGGTAAAAAAAAATTCGTTTTATTGACTTTCTCTATTCATAATGATACTTATTAATATATTTTCTAACTTTCAAAAATGCTTGTCAACTTCTGCTTATCAGACTTGAAATAGATGTTTTATCTACATATCTATGAACTGTACTGCATATCTACCCAGCACAGATATCAGCCGAGTTCAACACTAGGATGCTAAATGCGGTATCTGCAGTATAGATTCAATGAATTACGAGTGCATATGGTGCAATGTTGGCGAGTTTACATATTAAAACATGTTGCTGCAGCCAAATACAGCTTCTGCCAGTCTGAGAAAATCTGCTTTGCTCTATATATACACTAGATGTAAAGGGAAATATATTTCAGAGTTAATGCGAATAGTTATTGTGGGAAATAGGTTTCTCAAAAGAAATGAATCACATTACCATTCAAAATTGTTTAAATATTTTACTTTATATTTATTATCCATTAAAATGGTGTTATGAAATAACAGAAATGGTTAGAAAACTTGACTCTGAAAATAAAAATAAAAATCATACTTCAGTTTTACTATGGATTATAATAAGTCTCAGCTCAAACAAAGACTTCAGCAGCAAACAATCATAAAAAAATCATTTGCTACGATAATTTCAAGAGTTTTACAAAATGCATACGACAACATGATGGTTTTATCATTTGACACGACTTTTCACAGACAGCCCTAGTCCCGTATATATCCTTCTCCACCTACATAGGATTTGCGATAACTATTCCCACATAAAACTACATGAAATCTTATTTGAAACTGTACCACTCTCGTTAGGAGCATTTCTTATTTATAGAACACTGTAATGTCAGCCTTACAAATTACTAATGGAATTTTAGATTGTTCATCTTTTAGTTCTTCGCGTTATAGGCCTGAAACAGCTCAAATCTAACCTTAACTGTTTTGCATCTATTACATCAGGCATTATTTTAGACAAATGAACGTCACTTACAATAAGTTTAATGTCCCCGCAAGTTGTTAGATGATTCGAATAAAAAGCTATTAAATACATTAAAGTATAAACACCAAACCAGATGGTGTTTAAACGCATAGTGAACACTCTTCCAAGGGTCCCATCAGTATTCCGTAAAATGTTTTTAAATTGTAGTTTTCCCTCATAAAATCACGTCACATTACAATATAACATATTTGATACTTCTGAGAATTCGACGACCTTAAATAATTAAATCTGAATTTCCAAGTGGAACTTTAAAGCGCAATTTTCATAAAAACAATACTGTAACAGAACCAATTGCACAAAAGAAATAAACATTTAACATCCTTAAAAATAAAATTTTATGAAAAACACTGTTATGATTGGTGTAAGATACGAGTTCAGTGTATCGTGTTGTATGAACACATTGTTTGTCTAGAGACTAGACAGGACAATGCAGATAGATAAAACAAAGAACCTCATCAGCTGAGTCGGGACCTTACACGAGCTGACGTCATCAGTGTGCTGTACATGTAGAACACTGTTATGATTGGTGTAAGATACGAGTTCAGTGTATTGTGTTGTATGAACGCATTGTTTGTCTAGAGACTAGACAGGACAATGCGGATAGATGCAACAAAGAACCTCATCAGCTGAGTCGGGACCTCACATGAGCTGACGTCATCAGTGTGCTGTACATGTAGAACACTGTTATGATTGGTGTAAAATACGAGTTCAGTGTATCGTGTTGTATGAACACATTGTTTGTCTAGAGACTAGACAGGACAATGCGGATAGATGCAACAAAGAACCTCATCAGCTGAGTCGGGCCATCACATGAGCTGACGTCATCAGTGTGCTGTACATGTAGAACACTGTTATGATTGGTGTAAGATACAAGTTCAGTGTATCGTGTTGTATGAACTCATTGTTTGTCTAGAGACTAGACAGGACAATGCGAATAGATGCAACAAAGAACCTCATCAGCTGAGTCGGGCCATCACATGAGCTGACGTCATCAGTGTGCTGTACATGTAGAACACTGTTATGATTAGTGTAAGATACGAGTTCAGTGTATTGTGTTGTATGAACACATTGTTTGTCTAGAGGCTACACAGGACAATGCAGATAGATGCAACAAAGAACCTCATCAGCTGAGTCGGGACCTGACACGAGCTGACATCATCAGTGTGCTGTACATGTAGAACACTGTTATGATTGGTGTAAGATACGAGTTCAGTGTATTGTGTTGTATGAACTCATTGTTTGTCTAGAGACTAGACAGGACAATACGAATAGATGCAACAAAGAACCTCATCAGCTGAGTCGGGCCATCACATGAGCTGACGTCA